CGCCCCTCCTGCCCGCGCCCGCCTGCTGTCCCTGCGCACCTCCCAAACCCCTCAACCCTTCCGGCCCCTCCCGACTCGCCCGCACGACCCCTTCTCGCCGTGCACCCCATCCCACCAGGAGGGGCGCGTCACGTGGGTGGAGCGCTCCCACGGCTCCTTCTTCCGCTCCTTTGGCCTGCCCGAGACCGTTGACCCTGAGGGCATCTCCGCCGCCATCAAGGACGGCGTGATGACCGTCACTGTCCCTAAGAGGTCCCAGGAGCCCAAGCCCGCAGCCAAGGAGATCCACATCGAGGGCTGAGGCGAGCCGGAGGCGGGTAAAGAGCGGTCGCGGTCCTGGTGGTTTGGTTGTTGAGGTGCTGATGAGTCAGCAGGGCGTGGGAGCTCCACTGTTGCATCACCTGGCGCGGTGGGCAGGCAGGCCAAGGCTGGTTTGCGAGGGCGGATTTGCTGGCCAGCCATGCAGCTGCCAGCCCCTCTGGGGCTGCGGCAGGGCGTGGCTGTCATAGCCGAGGTGCTTGTGCGTGGATCAAGTTTTTACAAACGGGGTTGGATGTTGAAGCACTTGAGCGTTGTCGTGGTGGTTGGTTTGCAGCCAGCCTCTGCTGGCAGGGGTTATGCGTGTAAACACCGGGCCTGCTTGCTTCACAGCAGGCCGCATCCTGATCACCCTTTGTGCAAGTTGAGCATCTTGCTGCAGTGGTGTACTGCCATTGGCAGTTGGACAGATGGTGTTGCAAAACATTCTGCCTGCTGTTGTGGCAATCCATCATGGCACACACGCGCCGTTGTCAATTATAATCTAAAGCGCTTTCATCTCTGCGCTTGCTGCATGGCAATACCCATGTTATACACGAGGGATGTCTGGCTGGAGCATGTGATTACTTCCTTAATGTGCAGGTCCATCCACTCACTCCACTGTTGCTGCAACACAATCTGGGCTGTGATTGCCCTTGGCATTTTACACATGTGATGGTTGTAGGCTGCACATCAGTCAGGGAAACAAGGTTGACCAACATGCACGTTTTGTCTCCACCGCAATGTGTAAAGTTGCAACCTCACTGGGAATTGAGTGCCTCAGGTTGTAAGCACAATTAAGAAGTTGAGCTCTGTAGTTCAAGCGCCTCAGGTCTTTGGCACAAACAGCCTGGGCAAGAAAAGCTTGTAACACATGGAGCATGCATGGCGGGCAGACCACATGATGCCTGGGGTGTCGTCCATAGCCCTTATACGGCGGCCCACCTTCTTCTGAACACGAGTGCAGCACAATCCCAGCCCGACCCAAGACATCCTTGGCTTCAGCCAAAGACGACCCCAAACCTTGGTTGTCTGCCATCACATCGCATCATTAAAGCTCTGCTGGGCCTCCGGGTCGAACGGCCCGACGCCGTCTGCCCAGAAGAAGCTGCCGTCAACCCCCTTATTGAAGCTGCTGAAAAACTGCCTGTGTGGGGTGGGGTTGGTGGGGGATTTGAAGAGCGCGGCAAGAATCTTGGGCGGGGGCCGATCAGCAGATGGGCGTGCAGGGCGTACTGCACTCAATCCATGTGCTGTGCTGCAGCTGGCACCAGTGCATGGCCCCTTTGATGTCCCTCCCAGGAAGCCTGTGCTATGCTCTGTCCTCAACAGCACAGGCGACGGCAGCCGCCAAAACCCGGCTCCATGCCCTTGAGCCTCGCAACAACAGCCATACGCACACCAGCGGCGATCCACACAGCAAAGGCCCGCATCTGCTGCTGGTGTGACTGCCACTGCGGGGCGGCCGACTGGGTGATGGCTGCCACTAGTTTCCCCCTCCCCTGGACACCAGGATCCGCTCATCCCCTCCCCACCCACCTGCCCACGTTGTAAGACATGGCACCACTGCCAGAGCGCTTCGGGCCCTGCAGCACATCGCCGCGGCTGTCCTTCAGCCTCAAGGAGGCTGGGAAGCCCCACGCTGCAGTGACACCACGGGTGGGACGCGCGCGGCCGCAAGCACAGGGAAGAGTGCGAACATGAGATTGCGTTGTGTATCAAGAAGATTACAACGACCCAGGGGATGCAGCAGACAGCTGCAGCAAGCGCGCACACACCAACCTCAGTTCTAGCCCCCCCAAGCCCCATTACTAACATGCAACCAGGCAGATCCCTTTGGCCGCTCAAATCCCACCCACCCGGCAGCGGCTCCAGCACGCGCCGCCCACTCTGCAGGAGCGGCTGGATCCTCGGCGCCGCCAGGGCGTCGCAAGTGTAGCGCCACGCCTCGTCGTCAATTGGCTCCTGGCGGCGCCACAGCAGCTGCCCGCGCTGCTGGGAGAAGCCGAAGATGCGCCGCAGCAGCTTGGGCGCGTAGCGCAGCGGCGCGCCCAGCAGGCAGTGGCGGCCGTCGGGCATGCGGCGCGCCCAGACGCCCGGCGTGACCAGAGCGTCGCCAGCCTGCGGTTCCGGCGCAGTACCAACGGCGCGCTCGGGCGCGTCGTCTGCCCCGCCCGGGCCGATTAGTACATATGCGCGTGGCGGAGGTTGCTTTAGGTCTTGCATGGGGTCGTTGAGCGAGCGAGGGCGCACGTTCCCCGTGGGCACGCGTGCACGTGCTTGACACACGTGCCCATGGATGCAATGCCAGCGCCACGATGCAGCGCACTGCAAAGGTCTCCGTTCACAACTCCAAGGGTCTTTCGTCTCAAGGCCGTCGCCCTGCAGATCGAACCTGTACCACCCTGAACCAGGGAACAATCCAAGCGGCGGCGGCGCCCGCGCACGGACCTCCAGGAAACGCCCGCAGGCCTGAGCAGTCCCTCACCGTAGCCATCCTCTTCCAAGAATCCCTCTTCATCGTATTCCACATCATCTGCTCCCTCATCTCCGTCCTCGTACTCGTCTCTCTCCTCGCTCTCTCCCTCGCCGAGGCTGTCCCTTTCGTCGCTGCCCTCCTCGTCCTCGTCAGCGGCCTCCTCGGCTTCCACTGGAGGCTCCTCGCCCTCCTGTCCCCCAACCTCTGCTGCCTCGGCTTCTGGCTCCTCGGCCTGCACAGGCTCCACCAGCACCGCCGATTCTGTGTGGGCGGATTGTTGCGGGTGTCGGCAGATTTTGTCATTGTTTCGGCTGCCTGTCTGCTGCTGGCGCCGCAAGGCCTGACCCAAGCTAGGGGTGGCCGGGCGTCGCAGCAGTCTGTTAGTCTGTGTAAATTTTCTACAAACGTATGAATGCGTCTGTTTTGAGGCCAGAGCACCAGGCAGCTGCTGCGTGATGCGTCGGCGCCTGACCTGGTGCTGCGACCCTTTGGCATTTCAGCCTGTTGCCTGCCGCGCCTTCGTCCTCGATGTCACCCGCACTTCTTGATCGCCTCATTGCAGGTGCCTGGGAGCCCACTAAACGTGGAGGCCGTCCCACGAGAGCGATGCGCGCCGCGGCTGTTTCCGTTACGCCGTAGTCTGCTGCGATGATGTTTTTTTTTAAATCCAACAAATATATGCAGTGATCAAATCCCGCTGACATGGTGATGCAGTGCGGCACTTCCAAGAGAAGTGTGAGTGACTCATGGCGGTTACATACTGTATCGGCCCTCAGTACTTAGCAGGAGCAGTCCACATGGCGCCGGGCTTAGTGGGTCCAAGCTGATGGCCGACAAGCATTAGTGCACGTGGTCGGAGGCACACGTTGATGCACTTGTTGTTGCAACCACCTGTGGGACATTCAAGCGTTTGCATCTGTGCGCTTGCTGCATGGCACATATTATCCACAAGGGATGTCTGGCTGGAGAGTGTGACATACTTTCTTCAATGTGCATGTTCACCCCCCTATTGCTGCAACAGGATTTGGGCTGCGATTGCCGTCGGCATCTTACACACACAATGGTTTCAGGCTGCAGGGTTGGTCGGGGAACAACGTTGACCAACAGACCCGTGTCGCCTCAACTGCATTACATTGTGTAAAGTTGAAATCTCACTGCAATTCAATTTGCCACAGGCCGCCAGCACAAACAACTTGGGCAAGTCAACATTGCAGGATTTGAGCATGGTGGGCAGATTACATGATGCGTGGCGTGTTGTCCAAAGCCCTGGCACAGGCTCCAACACGGCAACTGCAAGGCAGCCCACGCCATCGTCCACACAAGTGAAGTGCAACCCCAGCTCAAACTACAAATCCAGAAGCTTCAGCCAAAGACAGCCCACAGGCCGTGGTTGCGGACCATCTCATTGAAGCTCTGCTGGGCCTCCGGCTCCATGGGCCCGACACCGTCCGCCCACAAGAAGCTGTCCTCAACCCCTTGGTTGAAGCTGCTGAAAAACTGCCTGGGTGGGATGGGGTTGGTGGGGGGTTTGCAGAGCATGGCGAGAATTTCGTTGGTGCGGGGGCGATCAGCAACCTGTCTCGCAGGGCAGAGTGCACCCAAACCCCATGCAGCAGGCACCAGTGCATGGCCCCTTTGATTTCCCTCCCAAGGATCCCACCTGTGCCCTGACCTGAACATCACAAGCAACAGCAGCCCGTTCCCCCTCCCCTGCTGAGCACCAGGGTACGCCGTCCCCTCCTCGCTCACCTGCCCACATTCCAAGGTTTGGCGCCGCGGCCCGAGCGCCGAGGACCCTGCAGCACATTGCCGCTGCTGTCGTGCAGCCTCAGGGAGGCTGGGAAGCCCCACCCTGCAGTAGAACAATAGATGAGCGAGCGGAGCATGCATGTCAGCCCTGCTTTGTGTATCCAATTTAGTATCCAACCAAACAGGGGAAGCCCCAGACACCAGCAGCAAGCGTGCCCCCACCATCGCCAGTTCTAGGTCCCCCAAGCCCCATTACTAACATGCAACCAGGCAGATCCCTTTGGCCGCTCAAATCCCACCCACCCGGCAGCGGCTCCAGCACGCGCCGCCCACTCTGCAGGAGCGGCTGGATCCTCGGCGCCGCCAGGGTGTCGCAAATGTAGCGCCACGCCTCGTCGTCAATTGGCTCCTGGCGGCGCCACAGCAGCTGCCCGCGCTGCTGGGAGAAGCCGAAGATGCGCCGCAGCAGCTTGGGCGCGTAGCGCAGCGGCGCGCCCAGCAGGCAGTGGCGGCCGTCGGGCATGCGGCGCGCCCACACACCGGGCGCGATGAGCGTGTCGCCAGGCTGCCGCGCGGGCGCAGCGCCGACGGCGCGCTCGGGCGCGTCCCATCCCGCGCCTGGGCCAATCAGGATGGACGCATGTGGCGGAGGGTGCTTCGGGTCTTTGCGTGCGGACGTGGAGCGAGCGAGGGCGCCCGTCCCCCAAGGGACCTCGCACGCGCTCTTGGCACACCCGCCAATTGATGCTGCGCCAGCACCACGCCGCCGTGAACCGCAACATGCCCGTGTGCATTAATCACGGCCATTCCTTGGTCAGTTGCACAGCTATCAAGGATGTGAGCCTGCCCCCACAAGGGAACAACCCCGGCAGCGGCTGCGCCAGCCGGCGCGCGGCTCTCGACGCAACGCTCGCACACCGCAGCAGTCCAGTCTCTCACCGTAATCATCATCAAAGAACTCCTCCTCCTCAATGTGTCCTTCGTCATCCGCGTCCTCGTCCCCGTCCTCGTACTCAACTCCCTCCTCGCTCTCTCCCTCGCCGAGGCTCCATTCATCGGAGCGGCCCTCCTCGTCCTCGTCAGCGGCCCCCTCGGCTTCCACCGGAGGCTGCTCCCCCTGCTGTCCCCCGACCTCTGCTGCCTCGGCTTCCAGCTCCTCCGCCTGCACCGGCTCCAGCACCGCCGCCGGCTCTGCGCGTGTGGTTCGTTGCGGGTTGTGTACAGTTTGCGCCGGTGCAGGGCCACCTGCTGTCATGCTGTCGGCGCTGCAACGCTTGACCCAGACCAGGGGTAATCCGGCACCGCAATCTAGAATCTGTTGGGGTGATCTTCGTCCTGACGGCAAAACGGCATGCGTCTGTTTTGAGGCCAGAGCACCAGGCAGCTATCACTGCATGATGGGTCTGCGCCTGACCTGGTGCGGCCAGTCTTTGGCGTTGCAGCCTGCCGCCTGCCGCGCCTTCGTCCTCAATGCGACCTGGACTCCTTGCTCGCCGCATTGCAGGTGCCTGGGGGCTCACTAAACTTCGAGGCCTTCCCGCGAGAGCGATGCGCGTCGCGGTTATTATCGCGTTACGACGCGGTAGTATGTTGCGACGCCTTTTCAGAAAATCTGTCGAATTTCAATGCCGTGAGCCAACTCCGTTGTGTTTGTGTTGCAAAGTGACAGTTCCAAGGGAAGTGTGAGTGACTCATGGCGGTTATCATGGCGCCCCTCAATCGCCAGTCCAGATGGCGCCGGGGCTAGTAAATTTAAGCTGATGTGTCCACCAACATGAGCGCACGTGGGCACACATCGATGTCCTTGATACGGCAAACACCTAAAGAACTTGCCTGGGGGCCCGGACTGCCAACAAGGGCCTTGGGCTGGGATGATGCACGGCCCTGCCCTTCCACATCTGGCCTCACGCCCAGGCTGCCTGATCTTTGCTTGCAACAAAAATGTGATTTCATGCTTTTGTCTTTACCGAAACCCAAAAAGCCCTTCATGCTCGTGACTTTGTGCCATCCACACCGTCCAAAGGGCATTGATGGGCTGGCGCACAAGCTGAGGCAGCAGCGGCATGCGATGAGGGAATGAAGCTGACTGTTTGAAATTGAGGGCCTGGCCAAATTTTGATGTGATAGCACCTTAGCAAGCGCCGGCACACGCAGCAGGCATCGGGATCTGTGTGCACAAGATCAAACCCAGTGAGGCTAACAGCAGGCAAGATGTTGCTACGGGTCCAACCAAATACTGTACTCTGGTTTTCGGGAGCGTTGCTGGGCCCCGACCCTACCTGTGGCGGCGCTGAGGCCGGCATTCAGGCTGCCGGGCCGAACAGGCTTGAGATCAGCGCGTGATGCGGCCTTCAGACTGGACAAATCTGACGTTGTGACGGGCTGCGTCCGAATACGTGTGAGGCGGCGCGCAGCTGCTGGGTGAGGGGCGGGCAGCCTGCCCAGGGCTGAGCCCCGTGGTGCTCCCCCGCGTACTTGCCCCTCACCCCACGCGGCACGGTGGCGTTTGTGTCTCAGGGCCGCTGGACTGCCAGTAGTTTCGAGTTTTGGTCGCATGGTTGTTCAGGACCGTCCTGCGTGACGCGTGCCATGGCAAGGTCTGTCACCACACAGATGGATGTGCGCGCACCTCCTGACCTGCGCGGATTCTGGTTGCGAGTTGGGCAAGCAACTGCGTGTGGCGCCCCAGCAGCCACAGAACGCCTGCACAGTGCAGCTGTCCCCCTTGCCACGCCTTACGCACGGCCTCATAACAAACGCTTATGGCGACTTTTGCTCCGGTGAATTCTCAGGCAAGTGGTCAATCTGGTCTCCTCGGTGCTCCAGCGCAGCCCCCTGTCCCTCCCCCTGCAACGTGCTGCATCTGTGCAACCAGCTTCCCCTGTGCGCACGTGCCACTCCGCCCTGCCAGGCGTAGCTTTTTTTGGGCTCAACGTAGGAGCTGAGTGTCGATTCGTGCCCAGCGGAGCACACTGCAACAATTTTTCGTCCTCAGAGCTGGAGCTCTGCTGGAGGCAGCAACTGATGAACTGACGCGCCACCTGGCCAGGTGACCGGTCCGGCGAGTTACATTCGTATGCTTGCAAGCATTGTACACCATGTTGTTGCGGCTGCACGCTGTCGTTCTGCTCGGGTCTTCCTTTTATCTTTCGTGAGATCAACGTTTGGGTGCGGGCTACGGTACCGTAGTTCGCCACCTGGAAATACTAGGCTCGCATACGTGGTGGTGGCTACAATCATACAAACTCAACCCATCAACATCATGATCTGCGGCCTTCAGCGGGCGGCCGCTGCCACGCCCTGCAGGGCGCGGCAGACAACGCCTCACGCCGCTCCCATGCGTGCTCATACATGCACTGCATGCGGCAGTCTGAGACTTTGCCAGCCAAGCAGCAGCACGTTTCTCATCTGCAGAGCCAGCAGGCGCAGGATCACCCATGCAGTGCCAGCAGAAGCAGGCGGTTTAGACGGTTCGCTGGCACGCACAGGGCTCGGTGGTGGGCTGCTGCAGAGGCTGGAGGATCTCAGGGACCAGCGCCGTCGCGTGACAGTCACAGTCACGGGGATGGTCAACTACTCAGAAGATCTTGAACAGCATGGACTGGCAGTGCGGTACAATACAGGAGATGCGGCGGCTCCTGTTGTGACAGGGACGATTCCCGTGGCGCACGTGCTCGGGTTGCTGGGGCCAAACGCCAGCTCGGTAAGGGTACTCCGAGATTCTGGATTGCAGGCGGTCTCCACTTCCACGTGCCCCAGCTGATTGAGATGTCCATTGTCCTTTTGAATGGCATGCATGCAAGAATGACCTGGGCTGGAAAATGGGCCCAATCCCCACGCAGCGCTCCGCTGAGATCGTGATGGTGTCACTTTCTTATCCAGGAGAAGGCAGGACGGGCGCGCGCCAAGCAGAGGGACCTGCTGCAGCAGTTTGTGGGGCGAGACATCCCTGCAATTGTGTTGGAGGTCACAGGCACCCAGGAAGGCGAGGAGGCGGTGGTGCTGTTCAGCCACCGCAGGGCCCTGGGCGAGCCGGGGCTGGGGCTGGATGACCTCAAGGTGAGGGCAGGGGCGGCGTGAATGCATACCCCCTGGATGATTGGTGTGCTGATTGAGCCTTGCAGCAGCAAGGAGATCTTGCCTGCTTGTCGAAACGCGGCTCGTTGGGCCTCCCTGCCCGCACGATGGGCGTGTGCGCAGGGGCAAGCGTGCGTGATCGCGGCGTGCAAACAGTCCGTCGCCCGCCCTGGCGTCCGTGCAGGTCGGCGATTTGATTGAGGGGACAGTCATGCGGCGAGTGTACCGCAGCTTCCACCTGGAGTGGATAGAACTGGACGTTGGCGGTGGCCTGTGTCTAAGCCTAGAAGCGACGCAAATCACGCGCTCCAAAGACAAGCTGCGGAGTGACGTCATCCGGCGCTTGTTCCAGGTCGGCATGACAGCCAGAGCAGTCGTGCTCAAGCACCTGCAGTGTGACGTCCAGCTCAGCGTGGCTGCACTTGAGGACTGGCCAGGGGAGATGCTGTCAAATCCAAATCGAGTGTTCTTGCGGGCGGAGAAGCGTGCTTACATGTGGCGTGTGTGGCAAAGCATGTCCTCGCGGCTTGAAGAGCTGCGGGACTCTGGAGAGAAGATCCCAGTGACAGTGGAGCGGCTGACGCGGGACGCAAACAGTGTTGTCGTATCGTGGACGCCTGGCCCTGGCCAACCCAACATCACGGGCTTGATACACAAGTCAAAACTGGGCCAGGTGAGGGATCTGAAGCGTTGCCGCGAGAGCTGGGCGCTGACCTGAATAGGCAGGCTTGCCTGGCTTCACAGTAGCTAGTAGCTAGTCGCCAAAAGCGCTTTGCTGCCACAGTCCATCACCTTCCTCAAACTGGCGCACTCGCCTCGCAGCATGCTATTGAACCGATGCAGGAGCTGATCGGCGCGGAGCTGTCTGCTTCGCTGCTGAAGTTTGACACAGAGGCGTGCAAGTTGTTCCTTACCTGCGCCCCCTCTGAGTTCAAGCCTCCAGAATTGCCTCAGGCAAGTGGGCTCGGGAGCGCACAGTTTTCTGCTCGGATTTGGCCTGCGAGGCTGCACGCGCAAGGGGTGTCTGCAGCTTTGTTTGTGTTGCACGTATATCCAACTGTTGGCCCCGACCTCGCGTCTCTTCCTCGACCCTGCACCCTTGGACTTGTCAACCAGATCAATCGCGCCTGCCTTCTTGTCAAGAGGTTTGCCGTGAACACCCACTTAGCCCAGTTGCATACTCCCGTGGGTGCTCCCTAAACAGGACCGCGAGCTAGTGACGGGCACGGTGCAATCTGTCCGGAAATATGGCGCATTTGTTGACGTCATCACTGGCAACGGCGTCCCAGCTGTGGGGCTGCTGCACATCAGCCAGATCACCGAGGAGCGCATCAGTTCAGCGGAAGACGCCAAGGTGGGAGACAAGGTCACAGCGCTGGTGCTGCGTTCAGAGCTTAAGCCCGAGCGCTTCTCATTGAGCACCAGGAAGCTGGAGCGGGAGCCAGGCGAAATGCTGAGGGACCGGCAGGCGGTGTTTGCTGCGGCGCAGGAGAGGGCGGCGGCATCCAATCCACGTGTGTAGGCATCGATCGCACGCTCACGCTACACACATGATATCAGCAGCAGCCATGTTATTGACAAACATATATTCCCAGGCACACTGCACACAACTGGTTGCACTTGAGTGAGCCAGTCTTGAACATGCTTGCTGTTGCGTGCCTTGAGCCACAAGCAGGATGCTTTTGGGCCCTCGATGGCTGGTCCCTGGGCCCTGGCTGGCCAAATTGTTGCAAACCATGTAATATTGCGGGCCCGCTTGGCTGCTTTGCCGCTCCGTCCAAGGAACAGAGGTCAGGCAAATGATCAGGGTGTTAGACGGTTGCTGATTGGCTGAGCAGCAAGGCAGAACAACTTGCCAGGCCTGGGGTGTGGTGCAGTCGCGTCCTCTGATGAGTGATAACACAAGGGACAGGGATAGGGGCCCCAGGACAGGGCCGTTGCATGTACAGCAGCAGTCTACTAGTCACTGTCCTTGATGTGCAGGAGCGGCCACGGTCGGCGGTGGCCTTTGCTGCACGCTGCCCGGCCACTGGCGCCTCCGCTGCCAACAATGCCGCTGCTGGGGCTGCCGCGGCCACAGCAGCTCAGCCCAAATTAGTGGCCCACACCAGCAGGGCATGAGACACATCTGTTCCAAAACCTCATGCCGAGGTAAAGCTGATGAGTAGCGGATTGTCCCCAGCCCACCACACTCACTCACAGGCAGAAAGCCACAATGTTGCCTGGTATAGACGCCTGAGACGGCAGACGAGCAATCAGGCCAGATCAAAATGACCTGCCTGGCGCAAACCTGTGCAGCAGAGATCCTGGTGTCTAGCCAACAACCTGAGAAGCGGCATCTTGGCCGAATGCAGGGCGCCTTTGGCACTTCCGGCGCTCGCTTTGGCTGGGGGCGTCACTGGTGACGTGTTGCCGCTGCCACTGTCTGCATGGGTCAAACCCATCGATGCAGCAATCGAGGCAGTAAGGAAATCCTCATATATGTGTTAGAAGTGTGATCGCTGACGAACGCGGAGCTGCGTCTGACGCAGATCCCGTGATACGGGAGTTGCACGCTATCAGCCAGCCCGGGCTTGCTGACGACATACACACGATACGCGGTAGCTATACGAAGATTACAGAAGCCTCATTAGAGGAGCACGTGCAAGCAAGCACCAAACAAGGGAGGTGCAGCGCAGCGCAGGGAGGACGCTGCCAACTCAGCCAGCTCGGCGGTGCGCTTCGGTTTGCGGCCATCGCTGCGCTTTCCACACATGCTAGGATCTTGAAAAGGTGTGGATTTATATAAGTTGAAAGGTCAAAGTGAAAGGCCACCGCGATCCGCAGTGACGACCTGCAGTGCCTTTTTACACGTCTTTTGCGCCACCCCCGCCC